GCGGCTAAACAGTAACCGTATGGCGGCGTGAACAGTACCCGGCTGCGTGAACAGTGTCCGGCTGCGTGAACAGTACCGTAGCTTCACTATTCATTTATAACATGAACGATATTTTGTTAGAGAATCAAATTTATTGAAACTGAACCGAACCAAATTGTGTTAAGAAAATCTTAAAATATCAATTTTTAAAAAATATATATATAATTTTTTCTTAATAAAAATCGAACCGAACCGAACTGAACCGAACCGAATATGATATAATAATTGATTGGTAAATATTTTTATAGAACTGAATCGAATAATTATCGAACCGAATACCGAAACGTCCACCCCTAACTTTTACGGTTTCTGAGATGTAGGATGGGCTCGCTGATTCGGAATCGAACTCATAATGTTTCTGTGTCTCGTTTTCAATTTCCGATCGAATAACATTTATCATAAATGATCAGTTCATCGTTTATCTTGTGAAGATTACAGTTCCATAGTAAGAAAGTGGAGTGTTACTGCAAGTAGAGAAATTCCGGAAAGGTAAAAATTAGGATAATGAAAAAAAATGCTTTTCGTAATAAATCTTAAATCAGAATGTATTGACAGAATTTTATGTATCTTTATTTGCATGATTATATAGACAAAATTTTGAATAGTAAATGTAATTTTGTTATTATTTTCGAACAAATATTGTGAAACGAATTTTTTATAAGAAAATCCCTACGACATAGTTTAATTTGTAGATTTGTAACATAGCATTCGAATGCATGTTTTTTTTGTCGGATGTACTACAAATTATATCATGCTGTATTATGTTTTATGGTAGTGCTTCTATAATGTAAATGTAAATAATATTTTTATTTCATGCTTGAGTTGTTCTCTTTCAATCATCCCCAATTCATATGCATATATGCATGCATGATACGATTTTTTCTTTTTTGCAATATTCAAATGATATTTTACCAAAATGTAAAGCAAAATAAAATAAATAATTGAAGAGGAAAGCAAAAGATTCCTTTCCACGACATTCTTTTGTTTTCCCTAAGGTACAAAATAAAGATCCTTTTGTGACAAAGTTCGTGCCATTAAATTCATGAATTATATATATATATATAAATGGTTGAATATAAGAAATTTGAAAAAAAAAACTCTATATAAAATAATAACAATATGATCGGCGTATGTAAGTCCAATTATTTTGGCTCACATGCATTATGGGTCCCATAAACCTTATTCTAATGCCTTCACCTTCACAGGCCATCCCTAGAAACCAGCACCTTTCTCCTACAACCAAGAACACAAATGATTTAGCATACTAATTAATTTTATAGTTATATATTACTTAGAATATTAATTAATTTAGAAATACAAAACGATCATATAAGAATTTTGAAATATGTTTTTATATTTTAATCCGTTTTGTAGTTATTTTTTCAACTTTAACTTAATGACACATAATTAGATTCACGATGGATCAAACTATTTGGACAAATTAGGGTAGCTAGCTAACCTTTTTTCTTAACTTGGAACAATGGGAAAACTTGATTTATGATATTCAAATTCAGTTGTCTCGTTTTACTACTGAAACTTTTAAATTGTCGTTTCGGAATAGAATATTCTACGTAAATAAAATTTACTGTAGAGTAATTAAAACCTCGAAAGCTATAGCTTTTGGTATAAAGTAAGACTATTTTAGGTTAATTTTCCGGCGAAGAATATTCCGGCGCCGGCGATAGGAGAATGCGGCCAATGGGATACATGCACAATGCAGCTATGAAAAGGCTAAACAACAAAAGAAAATAAACGTACGCACAAGACAACTAATTAAAACTTATCTACTTTCTTGTCTTTTAACTCGTTGCAGGTCTTGCACTCGTGGTGTCGAAATTACTTGGATCACCATACGTTCACGGACAATAACTAATTTTCAAATAATAATAATAATAATAAAGCATGTATCTTTTTTTAAACAAAAGAATGCAAAAGTGTATATAGTATGAGGCTGAAATTTACAGAAGGCAGAAGAATTAATCACACAAGCAGGAAAAAAACAGTTTTTTTTGTTCATCCTCTGTTACAATCCCCAGAGTCATGACCAAACAGAAGAACTACTTCAATGTATGTATATACGTATCTACCATGTGTGTGTATATATATATATATATATATATATGTTGAAATCAAGCTAATGGGTCTGACCGAATGGCAAGGTTGCGTGAAAATCACGTTGGCTATGGCTCCAAGGATCATTCGGCGTGTTGGAATCATCGGCTAAGTAATTAGGTTCTGATTTCACCATCGGACCAACGTAAATGGGCTGAGAGCTTTGGTTCTGTACATCGATCCATGTATTGATTCCGTACTCTGGCCATTTCGTATCTTCCAATGGATTATTATTTGCTTCCACAAACGTGGATTGATCCGAGAGTGCCCACGAGAAGCCGCCATTGTCGAAGAAACTCGAAGAACTGTTACTCTGCAGTAATTCAACGACACTACCATTGGTCGTGAAGCTTGAGTTCACCTCCCAAGTCGGTGCCGCCGCCACTTTGACATGATGATGGTGATGATGATGATGATCTCCAGGGACATTGGAACTGTTCTCTGCCCGGAGTTTAACCGATGGCTTCACCTTCACGCATACCGGCGTCTGGAAAACCGAGTTTTGAACAGAACTCGGCGTGTTATTCGAGTCAGAGATGCAGAAGTTGGAGCTGAAATTAAGCTTCTGGGAAGAGAAATAGTCGGATAAATCCGACGTCCTCTCGGCCGGGAAGAAGTCTTGATTGGTCGCGGATGAGGAACTCGGAGACGGGTTTACGAGCCTGAGCTCGTTGGAGGCAAGAGACAACTTGTTGGAAGGTGTTGTTTTAGGGTTTTGCTTGTCTTTGTCGCCATTGCTGTCGACCTCGGAGAGAGGTTTGTGGGTGTTTGGGTCAATGCCTCTTTGACTAAGCTTCTTCTTGATGGATGAGTTCCATAGATTCTTTATCTCGTTGTCTGTTCTTCCCGGAAGCCTACCCGCAATCTGAGACCACCTGAAACATTAAAAAAAACACGAACATTCATAACAAATCCAGATTCAGAACAGATAGATTCATCTTCTCTTACCTGTTTCCAAGAACAGCGTGGAGTTCGATGATGAGATTCTCCTCCTCAAGCGAAAAAGCTCCTCTCTTAAGATCAGGCCTCAAGTAGTTTATCCACCGAAGTCTGCAGCTTTTGCCACATCTCTGCAAACCTGCGTCGTTCATACATGTCTCTGTATGTCATTGCTCTGTACGAGAACAAGAAAAATGGAAAGCAACCCTTTTTCTTTTCCGGGAAAAGGAAGCAAAAAGAAAGTACCAGCGAGTTTAGGAACAGAGCTCCAGCATCCATGGCCGTGTTTCGTGATGTAATTGAGAAGCTTCTCGTCTTCTTCGGGAGACCAGAGGCCTTTCCTCAGCTTCTGCTTGAAACAACAAGAATGTCTCCCCATGTCTTGTTGCGCAACGCTGTCACCAACACAATAAGACACTCTGTTTCTTTGAAGTCTAAGTGTGTAATAAGCAGAGCAAAAGAGGTGAAGATTAATGGCGATCTCAGAGAGAGAGAGAGAGAGAGAGAGAGAGAGAGAGAGAGAGAGAGAGAGAGAGAGAGGGAGAGAGAGGTTGATAAAATGAAGTAACAGACGACAAGGATTTGAGTATTAATAGTTGAAAACCAAGGAGAAAAGAGACAAAGGAATTGCTGAGCTGGACTCGTACAAGAAATAGGATTGGGCCACGTCAGCTTCAGTGGTCCTCGGAATTAGACCAATCATGGCTAAGACATGTTTTTTTTTTATTACAAACTTTTTCATCGTTCTTTTCATATAGTTTCGTCATCTTTATTAGAATTATTATTTACGCTCAAATTCAATTGTTAACTACAAGTAATACACTCATGTCTCATAATTTAATCCAAATAATTTTGTTGTTAATTATTTGTTAACTTTGATTATCGATAATTGATTCTGACTCGCCAGAGAACTGAGATAATAATCATATTTATTTAATAAATGTACTTTTAATCACATTGATGGATATTTCTTAAATAAAATTTGACGAAAAACAATGAGACAATCGTTCTCGGAAACAATTTCATCCGATTTGATCGTGTATTAAACTTTTATAAAAAGTACACCTATTAATTCGGTCAAAATATTCATTTTTTAGTAAAATGCTTATTTTTATTTGTTTCAATTATATTGATATTTATATTTTTTAAAAAATAAATTTGACTTCGTTTAATTTGATTTTTATAAAAATCATATTATAAAAAATAATTATATATTATTCCGTTACATTCTATTCGATTTTATTTTATATATCCACACACCGTTGCTAAAATAATGTCAAAAGCAGGGCATGAGGAAGGAAGAGATGTCGTATGAGACAGCAAAACGAATTAAAGGCAAAGGCCAAATGGAGAATAAATCTCTGTGAAGATGAACGTTCCAATTAATGGAAAGACAGGAAGTTTCCGGAGCCGTGAAGAAAATACCCATCTCTGGTTATACAAAAACCCTAATTAATGGTTTGATAACGGAAAATTGGTAAATCCAGTAATTTTTCTTAAACAGGAGGGATTCCTATGCAGATGAACTATAGTAATAAAGGATTTTTCTACTTTTTTACTATTTTTTCCTCTCCTTTATCTATTTTTTTATACAAAAAATCCCATAAATTTGGTCAATAATAATAATATAATGTAGATATTTCTTATCCCCTCGCTTAGACTTTCCCTTCAATTTCCCATTGCTTAATTTTTCAAGTTCGGTGTGTTTGAATTTTAATTCCACAATATATTCTTATGATTATTTAAAAACCCACCTATAAACATAGCGTTCAAGAGGGATGCAAATCATATATAAATTTTTTTTTCTAATTTATTTCGTCATATTTGTATTAGATGAATGGCTACTTTGAAGCATTTTTGCCAGCTATAGACTATAGTGGACGATCCAAGGAATAATACGATTTTATGGGATAAAAGTACATCTTAGAATCTATTGTATGATTCAAGTCGAGGGTTATATACATAAAAATTTACAATGATTCAAGTTCGAATCCACAACTTTTTGTGTGAGAACAAACTTATTATATAAGAAACATTTGAATAATAGATCATAAATATTTATGTCAATTATGCATAAATCGTAAATAAAATTTTATAATATATCTATAAAATTTATGATTTAAAAACTATATGAAACGCATAAATTTACATATAAAATCAACAAAAATATTGTTCAAACCAATATCATGAATGATTGTTTTTGTGTTTTGAATTTTTAGTGCCCTTGCGTTTTCTCTTTATTTTAGAGCATACAAACATGGTCCTCCCTCTAAAAATGGGTATAGCCAATTAATGAGAAAATATAAAGAAAAATCAATATACACTAAATTTATCTTTTTCTTTAGAATTAAATTTATATTATTGAATAGTTTGAGCAGAATATTTATCTATGTTTTTTTTATAACGGAGGACCCCTAACTGATACCCTTCGGACGCGCTGATTAGTCCGGTTCGGGAGCAGCCTTTGTATATCGATCATATAAACCCAGAAATTACCTCCCTCCCCACCAGCCAATATTTATCTATGTTGTTTTTATTAAAATTGTTAGATACGTTTTTACCATTCTTAATATCTATATATATATAATCATTATAATTTTCATTGAAATTTACTTGTATTGTATGTATGTTTCTACTTTTACACACATTATATATGAATAAGGCTGCAATTAAATATATTATTATGGAGCCGCAAGAGAATCTCTTGGAACAATGCCTTGTTCATGCAGGAACCCAAAAGGCGGACCATTAAATTATCAACAAAGATAATGAAATTAATGCCCTCATAATACAGCACAATAATATATTTAATTAAATTAATAATAAGAGATAGAGATAACTATGGTACTAGTTGATTTGTTTTTTTTTTTTGGGTATAATATCGTGAATAAAGCTGTCAAAAAAGATACTTCCAATATACAAAATGATTTAGCAAAATGATTGGTTATAAGAAAACATATAATATATGGAAGACTTGCAACCATTTATAGAACGGCTTTGGATCGTTTCTTTTATTACGACTAAAATAATTCCAATCAGCACGTTCATGACCATATCAGAACACAAATTTAATTTTACTTTCGTATTATAATATTAATTTCCTCCATGAAAAGAGACATATTCCATTAGAATCATTGCATGATTGAGACGAATCATCATCATCATCATTATCATTGTGACTAAACAATCATTCGCCGTCAACTTTGCATTATGCAACCATGTCTGATTTTCAGATTTTTCATGCATTGAATTTCGATTCATGTCGCATTATTATTCGTCATGTAGATAATGCCATACTCACTTTCGGGAATATGAATTTCTAATAATTATTAACTTGGAATAAAAATGAATTCCTTGATTTTATTTGTAAAACATATTTTTTGTTCTAAGAGTTTAGTTTCAAATATTCAACACGGAAATTTGAAAAAAAAAATTACAAACTTTGAGATATTATAAATTAGGCGCCAGAGTATAAAAAAACAAAGATATTTATTGTTAAACAAATATTGTTAGTGAGTTTTGATTGGATAAACATTAAATCTAAATAATATTTATTACATGTTTAAAGGAGTTGATAATATTTATGCAATGAATTTGAATTGGATTGCAATTAGAGGTTTTATCTTGTAGATAAGAGAATATATGAAATGCTTTATGAGGTCAACTGTCGATTAATCTTGACAATTGTCCAATATTTTTCTTTCGAATTTTTGTATATAATAATAAACGTCAATCTTTCAATCGTATTGTCTTTTTATTTTATTTTTTTATTTCATCGGTAAATAAAAATCGAAAAAGCCAATAAATTCGAGATGGTTTTTGTAATTGATGAAACTCACGTATGTCTGTGTACGTAATGAAAGAATCTGTTGTCGTTTTCGACGTTGTCATTGTCGACGAGACTTGCATCTTCGCCGACAATGAAGAACGCATAGCTCCACACACTTCACACGCTTCGTATAATTACAAGAAAGATTATCGTCCTTTAGAAAATTTATTATCTTCAATGTCTCTGGATTAAAAAAAGAAGAAGTGATAAGGATATTTAATAATTGAATATTTATAACTGTTTTTTGAAATAATCTCGCGGTTATCTTCTCGATCTTTTGAAACTATAAGGGTGTTGATAATTAATTATATATGCAACATGCATGAATGTGATAGAAGGGTCGGCAAGATAAAGACCATAAGAAGTTAAGAACCCCCATGGTCACAAATCAACATTTTGGAAGATCTTAAATACGTATATATGCTCATTACACACACACATATACATACATATATATATATATATATACGCACGATCGAATTATATATAGGGATAAATCAGAAGGTTGAGAAGTGCAAAGTGTCAACAGAAATATAGGAGAAGGGGCCATTGGAAAGGTATGCTACTTTCTTTTTTGAAGAGTGCTTTCAACTTTATCCTTGTCCCTAGAGGAATCAAGAACCTGGCGATGACACAGACTTTTATTCAGACAGAAAAATATAAGGTTCGAACCAGATCGTTCGAGCTCGCGAACCGATACACGAGCCATTAAAGATAATAAAATGTTAAATATAATAAAAATAATATTAATATATTTTAAAATAATAAAAATATTTAAATTTGAGAAATCTTTTTAAAATTATTTAAAAATATTGAAAAATAAAAATATTTTTTTAGCTCGCGAGCCAACTCATGGACTCGCTGAGCTGATCCGCGATGAGCCGAGCTCATAGCGAGCTAGCTCGTTTGACTCGTTTTTTTTTTCGGACTCAAAATTTTTCAGCCCAAATCAGGGAAATATGATCTGGTTCACGAGCCATCTCATTTATATCCTAAGCCAAATACATACTTTTTTATGGTAATTTTAATTCACCGGATAATGCCGAACAGTATAAATGAATTAAAATTGGACTCGGAATTGGTTTAGTAGTTTAAAAAAAATAAACATAATTTAGTAGAAAATGATTTGTGTGCAAAGGATTATCATCTTAAGACAAACAAGTCCAGGTTGTGGTGTCAAAGTGGTGTGGAAGCACACCCACCACCACAGTTCGAGCCACGCCAGGGACATCACATAATATCAAAAAAAAAATCTTAAGACAAACAACGGTATGTCTGTGTGTACGTGTATGTAAATACATTGTTAGTCGAAGTTGTCTGTAATATACTACGAAATGATCTGCAGTTTTGAAACTAAGAATATGGGTTTTCATGAATTCGTGTATACTTTTGATTTAAATAAAAATATTAGATTGAGGTTTAAGTTATATTAGGTTTTTTCTTCTAAGTGTTACATAATATTTAAATCTTTAAATGTCGTTTTCGAAAATTATAAAGAGTTGATAACTAATTAATCCGATAAATTACTAGAAACCATCCTTCACATGTTTTGTTGTTATTCATACGTAGATGAGATGAGACATTATAACAATCTCATGTTATATTTAGATAAAAAAAACGTCAAAGATGCCAACATATATGATCATAAAAGATTTGTGTGTGGGTGCGTCATGAATGGGTATTTGCCTATTTGGTCCATGCCAAAAGTTAAGAGTTTTAACCTAAACGTCTGCCAAGTATTTAGAGAGAGAGAGAGAGAGAGAGAGAGAGAGAGAGAGAGAGAGAGAGAGAGAGAGAGAGAGAGATTACCCATTGTAAATGACTAGAGCACATCCAAATACAAACTATTTCTTTGGGAACATCCTTCACATCTAATCAAAAGAAAAATACTGATTTCTTCTATGAACTTATGTAAAATTATACGCAATATATATATATATATATATATATACAGAGATATTTAAGGGAAAAAAGGTAGGAAGGGACCATGAGAAGTGACCTTAATTGTGTACATCTTAAGTGGCCCATTTGGCATTAGACCCATTAACAACTAAACATGATCACATGCATGCACTTTTTTATATTACTACTAATTAGATGCCCCTTTTCTTAAGCCCCCCAAAAAAAATGTATTTTTTTGTTGGTATATATAACTATATCCACTAATACTAAGTAAAAACCTCACTTGATCTTAATTTTTCTTTCATGTCATTATTTGATTAAAAGGGGCATGAGGCATGAAATTCCATGCACCATGGTTAATGTTTGCTAAATATGGAGGTTAATTATGATCACTATATAGTAATGGGGAAAATAATAAACAAAAAATAGAACTTAGATATTCTGAATAATGATTTAAAAGTTGTTTTTGTTTTTATTAAATTTTCAATTTTCAATTTCCAATTTAAAATTTTTATTTCTATAATGCAATTTGAAAAAAATATTGATTTGCATTATATTAAATTCCATTTGATAGTTCAATGTATAAAAAAAAGTTTAATCATTGACAAAATAGAATTTTTAGATAATTTTATTGACAATCGAAACAATTGAAATAGAGTTTTGAGATCAAGTTTCTTGATTATCGAGATATATACTTTCGGAATCAATCGGATCATAAGATCCGAACACTTGAACAATTTAAAAGTGTAAAAACATTTACGAAATTTATTATCTATTCCACATGTAGTTTCATTTATTAAAATTTGTGAAAATTTTATTTCTGTTAATCATTCTTTGAAAAGGAGATATGTAATGTTAGTAGGAGCTTTGCCTTGCGAACAATTTTAAGTAAATTAATAAAGAAAATAAAATTAGAAAATAAGGCAAATATTATCACAAGGTTTTGATTATGGATGAGGGAAA